CCTCGGCTCCTCCCGGGCTCCCGGCCCGCCCGCCTGCGCGGGCGACTCTAGGACCCCGCGTCCCTCCCACCCCTCCCCACCCCTCCTGCCCTTCCGAGCAGCAAACTTTTCCGGAGGCGGCGGCCCCGGCTGCCGCGGGGACCCGGCGTCCCGGGCCCTGACCGCGCCCCATCTCCCCTCACAGAGCTCCCAAGTGCCCCGACGGTACCGGGAGCCGCGGCCCCCCGCGCGGTGAGTGGCCAGGCCGGGCGCGGGGGACGTGGCACGGGGCGGCGGCGGCCGCGCGGGGAGGGGGCGAGCCCCGCGGAGGGCGCGGGAGGAGGGGCCTGGAGGCCGGCGAGTGGCCGCGGAGGGAAAGTGTCCCCGCCGAGGACTGGGTGGCCGCGGCCGGCGGCCTCGCGCTTCCCACGCGTCCTCCCGCCTGCCGCGGCCCCAGGCCGCACCCTTTCCCGGCCGCGACTGCTGGGGAGGTAGGACATCCTGTTGAGAGCCCGGGACGTGGGAGACGCCTTGGGAGGAGGCGGCGGGAGACAGGGGGAGACTTTCGGGCGGCAGGAGTAAGTGGCGTAGGGTGTGAGGCCCCAGACAGGTGGCTCACACACCGTGTCCCCGCGCAGCCCGGCTCCCGCCTGGAGCTCCAGTTCCCCGAATGCACTTTACCGGGGTTCCTCCCGGCCCCTGAGCCCCCACAGAATGGCGGATGGAGCAAGCCCCTTCCTAGGTCGTAGGGACTTTGTCTACCCTTCCTCGGCTCGAGGTAAGGACCGGATCCTGCTCTTTTTCTCACCCGGAGGCCCGCCACCGTGCAACCGATATGCTGGTGCCCCGTGCAGCTGGGGTGGGGCTGGGGTGGGAGGAGGACGGTTACAGAGACCCCTGCTAACACTGGCCCTGTGCTGGGGTTGGGGGGGGAGCAGAACCCCATCCCAACACCCCGCCCCAGACATGGCCTTCCCAAGCTGAGGTAGCGCTTTTTCACAGACCCTAATGCCTCTGAACGAGGGGGCAGCCCAGCCAGGAAGGAAGAGAAGAAGGTAAGGAGGGGTGGGAGCACTAGGGTAGGGTGCGTGGGGATCTGGGGTGGTTCTCGTGATGGCTGTTCTAGACCTGCCACCTGCTTGACTAAGGTGACTCCCCCTGTCCTCTCCCCCTGCCCAGAGGAAGGCTGCCAGACTCAAGTTTGACTTCCAGGCACAGTCCCCCAAGTAAGTGCCCTTCTCTCCAACCCCCACCCCCACAGCCTCCCCCAGAGGATGGAGGAGACTCTGGGTGCACAAGACAGGGTCTGAAGGGAAGGAGGATTGGGAAGCCCTCACCTTGCTGGATATCCTTGCTCTGGCCTGTAGGGAGCTGACTCTGAAGAAGGGTGATATTGTCTACATCCACAAGGAGGTGGACAAGAACTGGCTGGAGGGGGAGCACCATGGCCGGCTAGGCATCTTCCCTGCTAATTATGTGGAGGTAAGCAGAGGAGCAAGCAGGAGCCCAGCTGGGAGGGTGCATGGGTTTGCAGAGACTTAGAGTGCAGACCCCTTTATCCCTGCACGGCCCCTCTGTGGAGCTGATTGCTCCTCCACATCTTACAGGCTTCCTGGTAGGTAAAACTGTGAACTCCAGGGGGTAGGGGCCAAGGCAGCCTCATTCATGCCCTCGGCCCCCCCGCACGGTTGGGCCCAGTGCTTTGCCTGCACTCGGGACATGTTTCTTAAACGAGCGCCAAAGGTGGAGCCCAGCCCATGGAGAACCACATGACCCCTCTCCTGCACCAGAGGCCAGCAGCCCAGACTGTCACCATTCAGCATCCGTCTCTCTCACGCTGTCTTTGGGAAGGATCCTGAGGGCAACTGCCAAGAGTACGAAATGTGTGACAGCTTACAAATCACATATACATTCATCACTTCCTTCGTGTGTATTACCTCCCTTGTTCCTCTTATTAACCTGAGAAGTGATCAGTCATCCCCATTTTACAAATGTGCTTGCTAAGGTTCGGAGATAAGTGGTTAAGTACAAGATCCAGAAGTGTCTGGCTTGCTGAGTCGGTAGAGCTTGCAACTCTTGATCTTGGGGTTGTGAGTTCGAGCCTCGCAATGGGGGTAGAGTTTACTTAAAAATATATCAGCATTTAGGGCGCCTGGGTGGCTCAGTTGGTTAGGCGACTGCCTTCGGCTCGGGTTGTGATCCCGGAGTCCTGGGATCGAGTCCTGCATCGGGCTCCCTGCTCGGCGAGGAGCCTGCTTCTCCCTCTGGCCCTCCCCCCTCTCATGTACTCTCTCTCTCTCTCATTCTCGCTCTGCCAAATAAATAAATAAATCTTAAAAAAAAAATATATCAGCATTTAATGATATAAATTTCCCTCTAAGCACTGCTTTATCTACACCCCATAGATTTGGATTTTTTTTTTCATTCAACTCTATTTTCTTATTTCCCTTGTGACTTCCTCTTTGACCCATGGATTGGGTTGTTGTTTAATTTGGGCTCTCGATTTGATAAGTATCAGTAGGCCTCCATTACCTTCAGAACAGTTGCTCTGATTCTGAAATTCCACAAAGTATAGCCAGTATTCCATTGTATCAGTAATTTACATCTTAGTATGAACTAGTTTACTAGCTTCTTGATTTTTTTATGGGTAGGGTGAAGCAAAGAGAATATGGGGATTCTGGGCACTGGGTGGGGTAGAAGGGAGGGGAAAGAGGGACACTTGGTTCTCAGCAGTGGTAAAATGTTAGATCCCCACTTTCAGGTCAGATTACCAGGTATGTGCTGCTTTTTGGAATTCCTCATTTACTTCTGGGCTCCAATTTAAGCTGTCTCTTAGGACTGGCTTCCCTCTTTGTTTTGACGTTGCCTACTCCACACCTCTAGGGGAAATTCTTCCTCCAGTAGCCTTCTGGGACTTACCACCCCTTGGCTGTGCTCACCCCAGCCACCCCCAAGCTTGTGTCTGGTGTCCATGTCCTCACTGGCTTTGGGGGCAGATCGCGCCCATACCATCTTCTCTTTGTTACTTTACCCTCCTGGGAGCCCCAGTTCTGTGCCCAGTTGATGCCCGGGCTGAGTCTTTATCATGACCTTTCTTCCTGTAGGTACTGCCTGCAGATGAGATCCCAAAGCCCATCAAGCCCCCAACCTACCAGGTGCTGGAGTATGGAGAAGCTGTGGCCCAGTACAATTTCAAGGGAGATCTGGAGGTGGAGCTGTCCTTCCGCAAGGTTCGGCCCTGCAGGAAGTGGGGGTGGGGGCGGGGGCACGTGAAGACATAGGTAAATATGTGTAGTGTCAAGTGTACCCATCTTCACCCAGTATTTAAAATTTTTCCTAATCTCTTTGGATATGTTTCCCTTCATTTAGCCCATTTTTAAAAAAGTTTGAAACTAGAGTAGTTGCGTTTTTTTTTTTTTCCAGTTGCAGGTTGGTAGGCTGTGAGGATCACAGTCAGCATTTTTAGAAGAACAGAATGGAACTGTTAGAATATCTTTCATGTAGAAAGGGTATTTGATCAAACTTTTAAGCAGTTACATATATACCCATGCACATGTGCGTGTACTGGCTTGTTATTAGGACATGTTTTTTGTTATAGACCATGGTCAAGGTAAGTTTGAGAAATGTTGTCCTAGAAAACAGGGAACTGGTCTCCCTTTGGTTGGTTTTTGGGACAGAGGCCATGCATGTCTCCTGTGAATGTCCTCCGGAAGAGCTGGCCCCCAGGAGAGAGAGGGAAAGGCTGGGTGGAAAGAGGTGGGGGGCAGGAGAGGGCTGGAGACCACCCTCCCCAGGGCCGCCTCACCTCATGTCAGCAAGTATGTTGGCTGGAGGACACACTGGCCGCCCTCGGAGAGTTCGTGTTTTGATGCAATGGTGATGGATCACCCAGCAAGGAGACGGGGACAGGGCCGTGTCATGGCAGTGGCGGCTCATGCCTGTCCAGTGCTTCTTACCAGTCTGCCATTGATCTCCTTTGCTCCTCACAGCAACAGCATTGTTATCCCCCGAAACACGTGAGGAAACTAGGCTCAGAGAGGCAAGGTAACTGGTCCAGGGCTGCACAACTCGGAACTGGCAGAGCCCGATTCGTTAATAGCCACCAGAACTCTGGGGAGAGGATGCTGTGAAGTCCAAGGAGTAGGTGTTGGGTAGGCTTCCCAAAGAGGCCGGCCTTGATCCACACCCAATGAGGCATGTTGTGGGAAGAGCCCCGACTTCTGGGCTCCCTCAGGCAGCCTGGGCTCAGCTCCTGACTCTACCACTGCCTTGTGACATGACTCACCTGCTCTGAGCTGGCTCGCTTGTGCAAGGCACTAGGTCTACATGAGACGGACCCCCCGGGGCTCCGTTGGGGGCATGGTGCCCTGGAGGGCCTTGCCAATGCTCATGCCCTTCTGCACCCCCAGGGGGAGCGCGTCTGCCTGATCCGCAAGGTGAATGAGAACTGGTACGAGGGGCGCATCTCGGGCACGGGGCGCCAGGGCATCTTCCCCGCCAGCTACGTGCAGGTGTACCGCGAGCCCCGGCTCCGCATCTGTGACGACGGCCCTCAGCTCCCTGCATCTCCCCGCCTGACCACTGCCCGGCTGGCTCGTCACTCCAGCTCCCCGTTAATGCCACACAGCCCAGTGGATCCCACCGACTGGGGGAGCCGGACCTTCCCCCGCCGCGCCGGCTTCTCCTTCCCCACCCAGGAGCCCAGAACCCAGACCCAGGTAGGGTGACCTGCCTCAGACTAGAGAGCTGATCCCTGCTCCCCACACTATTTCCTCCATTCCTTTGGTGGATTTGCACTTTGGAATCCTTCCTGGTGTGCCCCAGGACAGAGCAGTGGGAGAGCGGGGCAGAGCCTTGCATTGCAGAGCCACCCTAGCCTTGTGGCCCTCACACCCGTGAAGTTGGTTTTGGCCCTTGAGCTGTAGTTACAGCTGGGGGAGGCATGGGGCGGGCAGCCAGCTCTAGGTGTGACCCCAAAGCCAGCGCAGGCCTCCTGACCCTATAGACTCCACTCTCGTGATCTGCCTATATCAATATCTGGGACACGGTCATGAGGGAGTCAGAAGTCTGCCATTCACCTGCTGCGTGACCTTGGGCAGATGACTTACCCTCTCTGGATTGGGTTTCTCAGCTGTGGAATGGGGTAGTTTGAACTAAAAGTTTGTAGTAGCTGATGGGTAAAAGACTTCATTGGTCTTCATACTGAGGTAGGCCGTAAACAAGGGCCTCCTCTCCTGTGCTCATCCATTCTCTCAGCAAACCGATGTGAGCGGGCACGGCCAGTGCACGGAGGCCTCCCATCCCTTCCCATGTGCTGGCTGTTAGAATCAGCCTCCTACCTTCCCTGGGCCTCAGCTTCCGAGCACCTGTGAAGTGAAATGCTCAAACAGACCTCTTTGTGTCATGGGGGTTGAGAGGATAAAATGGGGACAGGATGAGAAATGCTGCTGCAGGGAAGGGGGGGCAGTGGCACTCTCCTCCCTCATGCTTGTGTGTGCCTGCCTTTCCTCCTGTGGACCCCCAGAGCACCCCTGGGTCAGCTCTGTCTCATCCTGGAGGCTCCAGCCGTCCCCTGGACCTGGGGATGCCCCCCAACACCACTCAGATACACTGGACCCCGTGAGTACCATCTGGGGATGCTTGGTCAGGGGTGGCATGTTGCTTGGCAGGCAGTACTGAGCACACTGACCACCCCCATAGCCTGCCACTTGCCCCTTAAGATGGATTTGGTAAACTCCTACCTCTGGCACTTAGGGATGATTTGGTGGGGGGCCACTTGTCTGTGATGGGCCTGACCTGTCCCAGCCAGCCCTATAGCCTTAAAGCAAGCCTCCCACTCTGTCCCTTGCCCTCAGCCTCCTATCTGGGTTTCCAGCCCTGAGGTCAGTGTGTGTATGTGTGAAGTGTGCGAACTGGTAGAACTGACTTGAAGGCAGTGGGAGCTCCGAGGAGGAGGGGTTGAGGTGGGTAGGGCTCGGAGCACAGGGAGCAGGCCGCGGAAAGAATGCATTGAAGCCAGACAGAGTCACCTTTCTTGAAGCTGGGCCAGGGGATAATGGAGTCATCTGGAAAATTAAGGGGATGTAGCAACACTTGGGTTAGACTCTCTGGGCCTGACCTGAGGCAGGGGCCAGGCTCCAGTGGTTGCCATGATGCTGTCTCCCACAGGTATCGGGCCATGTACCAGTACAGGCCCCAAAACGAGGATGAGCTGGAGCTGCGGGAGGGGGATCGGGTGGATGTCATGCAGCAGTGTGACGATGGCTGGTTCGTGGGTATGTGGGCCTGGTGGGTGGGCCGCGGGGCCGGCCGGAAGGGGACTATCTGGGAGTACCCTGGCGGGATAGCTGGGGGCACACCAGAGGAAGTATCTTAGGGTGCTGGGGGGGATGACCTGGGGGACAAGTCAGAAGGGGACATCTTGGGGGTTGCTGGGGAGGTTTGGGTGGGCTGCTACAGCCTGCCAATCCTGGTTCAGCCAAGATTCATGTCTGATAGACGAGGCCAGGGTCATTGATGAAGTCGGTATAGACTCGGGGGCAGCAGGTTTCCCGACCCTCACACCCCTGCTCCTTCCCACCACACACTTGTCTCTGGAGCAGTTTTGGGGGGAGGGGCCTGTCTCCTGAGACACTAAGTTCCTGATGGAAAGGACCAAGTCTCACTCACACCCATGCATCACCCACCCCCACCCCCAGTTAGCAGCTGGCTCCCCAGTCCACAGGGCTGGCCCTAGGGCAGCTCAGGCAAAGGACTAAAGCAGGAAGCCTCAAGTTGGCCTTGGCCTGGTTCAAGGTGACCAACCCAGCAGGCTTCACATGGCCTTTTTCCTCCGAGTGGGCAGGGCCATATAGGCTTCCGCTTCAGAGGAAGGGGCCATCCTCAAAGAGTAGTGAGCAGCCAGAAGCCCCTCCCACTGCAGAGCTTAAAGGGTGGCAAGGCTGCTTGGGCAGAAGGGGCCCCAACGGCAGTCTCTTGACCTGGCAACCCATCCTTTCTCATCTGAATCCTAGCACCTCATTGCTGACCAAGTTTCAGACACACCAGTGATAATGGAGCACTAACTTGTTAACGGTTCTTGCCTTGGAGGGGTGGGCTTGGGGGCACATTCTCATTTTACTCTGTACACCTCTGCATTTAAATTTTTTTTTTTTTTTTACCACTTATAAAGTTTTGCAAGTATAGACAAGAAGAAAAAGCACCACTTTTGTGGTATTAAAACCACAAGTGCTTTTAGAGGAAAGGTTTAGAAAGTTCAATGTCTTAGTCACACTAGCACATTTCTTTACTTTTTATTTTTTTTTAAAGGTTTTATTTACTTATTTGACAGAGAGACAGAGAGCACAAGCAGGGGGAGCGGCAGAGGGAGAGGGAGAAGCAGACTCCCTGCTAAGCAGGGAGTCCTATGTGGGGCTTGGTCCTAGGACCGGGGATCATGACCTGAGCCAAGGCAGATGCTTAACCGACTGAGCCACCCAGGTGCCCCCACATTTCTTTTTTTTAAAGATTTTATTCATTAGAGAGAGAGTAAAAGCAGGGGGAGAGGCAGGCAGAGGGAGAGGGAGAAGCAGACTTCCCACTGAGCAGGGAGCCTGAGGCAGATGCTTAACCAACTGAGCCACCCAGGCACCCCACACCAGCACATTTCAAGTGCTAAGTAGCGACATGTGGCTAGTGGTTATCACATCAGATAGTGCAGGCAGGGAAGGCTTCCTGGAGGAAGTGGGGGAGCTAGCCCTTAACGGGCAGGTGAGGCATCCCAGGCAGTGGGACAGTATCAGCAAGGCCTGAGAGCAGGGTGAGCATGGGCTGCTTATCGGGAAGTCAGGATGCCAGCCTGCCAGGAAGGGAAGGTTCAGGACTTTAATTTCATTTTACATTCCTATATCTTCTAGCATTCTCTCTTCTCCACTCCAGAACACGGGTTTCTTTGGGGTTGTAGCAGACCAGAGGACTGGATTTTACTCCCACCTCTACCCCTAAGTAACAGAGTGCTTTTGGGGAATTCACTTGGCCTTCTCTTTAGGCCTTGCCTGTCTGTCCTATGTCTAAATTGAAGGTGAGACCAGTGAGTTTCCTCCACATTTAAGTTCTGGATTCAACCTCTGGCTTCCTTGCTTTCCTGAGGAAGATGGGGTAATTCAGTGCTGTGTGCCAAGTTATAGGCGACCCAAATTCCGAGTCCTTGAATGAGGAAGTGTAGCTTTGCCCATCTTCCCACTAGGGGGCAGAGTGAGTAAAACAAATCCTCCGTCCCTGGGACAGGGACTCCACCTGCAGTTCCGGGCACTGCCAGTAGGGGGAAGGTCCCTCACCCCCACATTCCTACTCAAGAAGTTTGGGGAATGCCTTTTATGCCTTTTCTTTTTTTCTCTTTCAGGTGTCTCCCGAAGGACCCAGAAATTTGGGACATTCCCTGGAAATTACGTAGCTCCGGTGTGAGTGGTCTCCGTGGCAACTCAGAGCCCAGCCAGGATGCGGTGGGGAGCAGTAGCACTTATGGGGAGAGGATCCCCCCTCCATCCTCCTTCCCCAAGACCTGAGCTGCTGGCATCTGCAGACAACCCCAGCAGCCGTTCTTCAGAGCCCCCCTCAAAGCCCCCTGGACTGCTTCCCACCCACAGCTCACAAACATTCCTCCAGCAGCCTTTTTATTTCCTCTCCTATCCCACTCCCCAAATATAGAGGTCTGCTTTGAAGTGGAGACTGTTTCCAGGCCTTATTGAGACCAGACCCAGGAGCACCCCCACCCCCACCCCACCCGGCTATGGCGTTTCCTCTAACAGGGACCGGCTCCCCGCTTTACCCCCATGGGGTTCCTCTATCAAGGACCAGCTTCCTAACCTAACAGAGACCAAAGGCCTCCTCTGCCTGGAGCGGATTCGTCCCCTTTCACTCCAGCTTGTCCGCTGCCCCCTTTGCCTTCCTGCTTCCAGCTGGGTTTGGGAGTGAGGTGGGAGAGGGACACAGCACCCCTTAGTGCCCAAGGCCTGGCAAGAGGTCTTGCTCGAAGGCCCCGCCTTCCCCAAGGCTGCCAAGCCCTGGGCTGTGTATGTGACCGGGCTGCTGTAAGGCCCAGGAAGGGCTGGGCCTCAGAGGAGTGGCCTGCTCCAGGTGTTCCCCAGGGAGCCTCCCCTCCTGCCTCCCCAGCTCCTCCAACCCCCAAGTCCCCTCTGGAAGAGAATGTAAAATAAACCTGGATACCAGGGACCTTGCCAGTCCTTTTCCTTCTGGGCAGAAGGCTCCTCCTGCTTAGGACTGTGGCATTCTTTCTGCAGTTGGCTGTGCTGGGAACCAGGTGGGCCGTGAGGCTGTGTGTGAAAGGGGAGGGTGGAAAAGCACCATCCTTGTCTGAAGATCTCAGCCCTCCGGTCACAGGCAGAACGGGGCAGCCCCCAGGATCGGGCAGCCATCTGACAGGCAGTGCCAAGAGAGAGAACGTCACGGGGCCCAGGGCAAGCCCGACCGTGGGGAGAAACCAGAGATGAGCGCTGAACGCGGCCTTGTGTGCAGGCTGTTTTGATTCTGGAGCCACCATGGGGCTGCTGGACTAGATGACATTTCTAGCTGTTCTGCTCCTAATGTTTTCCTTCTGTGTGCTCCATTTCCACACCGAAGCACTCGTGTGTTTGCTTACTTTCTTCTTTGGGCTCGGGTTTTTGAGCCATCGACTGCGGGAAGCTGGGAGGGGGATAGGACACAGCTTAGCCAAAGCAACTCTTCTCACCCACGGTTTCAGGCTCCTGGGGCTTGGTGGTCCCTGCAGGGCGACGGAGTGGCGCAGTCCAGGCCTGGCTGCTCTGTCAGGAAAGAAAACTCCATTCCTTGGCAGCTGCTGGTAGCTGAGCAGGGCATAAGGTGCTCCCCATGTGCTCTCTGACATAAGCCTCCCAGTGGTGGGGGTAGGATTCCATTTTACGGGACCGCAGCCTGAGGCGGAGAAATTAAGTTGTCTGGGTCACATCATTATAAAATGTGAAGTCAGGTACACAAAGTGCAGAAATTTGGGACACTGGACCTTGACCTCCTGGACAAGGAAGGTCATGCGTGAGGCCAAGGACTTCACTGGGTTGGGCGTCTTCTATGTTCTTCCTGGCAGTCCTGTCTGCCAGGCCTGTCACTTAGGGCACCCCCACCCCAGGTGGGTGGGAAGAGGTGGCGGTGCCTAGTTCTGCCTGTGAATGACAGGGCCATAGCCTGGCCCCGGCAGTTTCCTTGAGCCTGGGTGTGGCCTGGGCCCCAGTGGTGGTTAAACAGCAGCTGGGAGAACAAGGCCTATGTGGCCCCCGTCTCTTCCGTCCACCCCAGTCCTCACCACGGTCTGCTTCTAAGTTGGCGGGCCCAGCCCATCTTGTGGAAATGACCATTCTTCAGAAACCCACTGGCCTGTTCCAGCTCCCCTGTCCCAGCTTCTTCCCTTTCCCCGATGCCCTCAAAAAAGATATCAGCGTTGACTGAGACTTCCTCTCCCTGGGGCAGAAACCAAATCCACACCCTCTGATGGAGCCCTGAAACCTCTGCAGCACACCAACACTACACTTTCGGGCTGCCTGCCATGACAGCCCTGCCTGCACAATGACTGCTTCTGTGCCTTGACCTGGCGGGAGGCAGGAGGGGAGGGGACAGGTCACAGGCCCAGGGGGGTGCGAGGGGGACCTGCGGGGGTCGGAGTCAGAAAGCGCTGTAGGCCACTGGGGATGCTCATCCCATTAGAGAGGTGAGTGGAGTGACTTGCCCAGGGCTGCAGAGTTGCTTAGAGCAGGACAGTACTCCCTTCTGGTCCACAGGGTCTCGCCCTTGGGTCAGTCGATTTTGTCTTGGTCGTGAGTTTTGTGAATGCACAACCCACGGAGCAGAAATCCTGCAGATTAACCTGTAAATGCTAGGGACGAGGGAAAAGTCAGGAGCACAAAGAGATGTAAAACAGAGGCTCTGCCACAAATTGGGTGTGAAGGAAGGGAAATGAATCCATTCAATCATTCAAACAATATTCATTTGACATTTATTGAATGCCTACTGTGTGCCAGGCACTGTGCTAGGCTCTGGGAATGGAGCAGTGAACTAATCACCACCCACCCTTGCCCTAAGAGGAACCTGCATGCCAGTAGCTTTATATGGGAGGACAGTCTGCACACAGGAGGCTAAGGTAGGCACTATCCCCATTTTACTCATTGGGAAAGTGAAGAAATTACCCACGGTCACACACTAAGAGGCAGATCTGGCATTTGAGGCTAGGTCTGTGTGACCCCAAGGCTGTGCTTGCCTGTCCTGCAGTTTCCTGCTCCCTCAAGGGCTTCCAGTCTAGTTGGGTGGTAGAGCACCTGTGTCAGGCCAAGTGGCCACTCCAGGAGGCCCGAGGCCCAGGACTGGTTGGTAGGAGAGAGGCTTACACACACCGAGGACAGAGGCCATGGGAGGGCGGGAACGGGAGGTCAGCTGCAGTATGCCGGCTGTCAGTGCAGGGAGGATGAGACACAGGGCATAAGTAGGTGGGAAGAGTGGTGAGGGCACTCCTTGCAGAGGGAACTTGGAGGGAATGACTCATACCTGAGGCAGGCAAGTTACAGCTGTGCCCACAGGTGTGCTTCCCTGACAACAGACCAGCCTGACGGAGTGCAAAGTGGAGACCGATGGGAGATGCCAGAGTCGGCTCTGGTGGGCCCTGACGTGTCTGAGTTGAGGGTTGGCCGGTATGGTGCTGGGGAGCCATTTGCCAGATGGTTCTGAGCTGGTGCCTGGGGCCTTTCCTTGGCTGCCCTCTCCCTTTCCCTAGAGCCTGGGTTCCAGGTGGTTGGCAGAAGGCTGGGCCTCATGAGCAGCGAGAGCCCGTGGTGATTGCTGGGGCTCGCCCACCCCAGGCAGGGCAGCAGAGAGGGTGAGGGGAGGGCAGCCAGGAATGGAAAAGTATGAGCCCAGGAGAGTGCCCAGCGACCGCCAGCCAGGATTCCCTACAGCTCCTGGGCCTCGAAGGTCGCCCTGAGCCCAGCAGCCTCGCGGGGCATCTCCAGCAGGGGCAGCTCTGCGCAGCCCCAAGAACCCAGCAGCCCGCAGCCAGCGCCCGGGGAGCGCGCGGGCCGTTGGGGAACGGAGCTGAGGAGGGCGCGGGGGAGGCCCCGGCTCGGGATCTGTGGGTGTTGGGGCTGCATCCGCGCCAGCGGCGGAGTCGGAGCCGGGAGTGGGCGGAGGAGCCAGGCGGACCGCAGACAGGCCCAGCAGGCCCTCCCCCGCCCGGGCCTGGGGGGTGTGTGTGGCGGGGGGTGGGGGGTTGCTCGAGGGCCCCTGTGAAGGCGGGTGGGCGCGGCCGGCCTGGGAGAGCTTCAGGGGGCGGCAACCTCTGCTGTCCGCGCAGTGGGGCTCGCGACCCGTCACCGGAACGCCTCCCCGGGCCTCCCGGAGCAGTCGGGAGAAGGGCACCTCGGGGAGGACGACCGCAGCCTCTAGGGGGCTCTAGGGAAAGAAACCCCCGCGCACCCCAGGAGGGCGCGGGCCAGGTGGCAGCGCCGGGGCTGGGCTGCGCGGAGGAGGCGGCCTCCCGGGCCAGGGGCGGTGGCAGGGGCGGCCCCGGGATCACATGGGCGGAGGCAGGTCCTGGAGCCCCGGGCGGGCTCTCCCCAGAGTCGGGCAGACGGCGGCAGCGGCGGCGGCGGCAGCGGCGGTGTCTCCTCACCCTCCCTCCTTCCCTTCCCTTCCCTCCCGGGCCTGGCCACCCAGCCCGACGGGTTAGCGGGAGCCAGGTGAGCGGGAGCCAGGTGAGCGCGCCCACCTGCGCACCGTCCGCACGGCCGGCGACCTTCCCGGCTCCGGGGACCTCGCAGCTCTGCGCGCCCGCGCCCCTTCTGCGCTGCTCTCGGCACCCCGGCTCTTTCCTCCGCCCACGGCCCCCATCCCTGCGGCCTCGCCTGGAGGCCGGTGCCCCCCCGCGTGCTGGGCTTTCCTGATCCCGGGCTCTCCTCCTCCAGCACCCGGCCCGCGGGTACTTTGGCCTCGGAGCGTAGAAGAAGCCAGAACTGGGAGAGCCGGGCGGGCCGACAGGCTGGGCACCTCCCCGCGGCCCGGGGCGCGGAGTCCACCGGCCGGCTCAAAGGTCTGAGAATCCAAAGTCTCTGTGAACCGCCAGCGCCGGCCTGGGGACCTGGGGGACCTGGGCAGGGACAGGGGCGAGGCCTGGGCAAAAGGCAAAGCCAAGGACCGGGGAGAGGGCAGACAGCTCTCCTTGCTTGGGCGCCCTCTCCCCAGGCTCTTAAACACGGGAAGTGGCCCTAGTGTCCTTGATAGATTCCCACAGCACTTGCAGTCTCTGGGCCTCCCCAGGGGCAGCCTCCGGGGTGGGTGCTGGGCAGGGTGGTGGCCCAGGGCTGGCATTACAGCTTCCTGCCTGGGTTGGCTCCTGACTCCATAACTAGAGGCTCAGGAAATCCTACCAGGGCTGGGTCTGCAGGGACACTCCCTTGCCCAGCGGAGGGGGCAGTGGATGGGAGGCCTGTGGCCCCAGCTAGCAGGCAGCATCAGTCAGCTTGCCCTGCTAGCCATTGCCAGGGGGTGGGTGTGCCCAGCTTGGCAGATGAGCCCGTCCTTCTGGCTGGGGCTGTTCAGAGGGCAGCAGGCCCCTGGGGGAGGTGGGAAGCCTAGTCTTGCCTACCTGGACCGCATTGCCAGGGGACAGGCAGGCAACCCGGAGGCCCCTCTGAAGACCCTGGGCCAGTCCCCACCCAGCCAACTACTTGAACAGTCTGTGGTGGCATCACCCCCTTGTTTGCTGTCACTTCTATTACCAGAGTATTGCCCTCGCCCAGAGTGGGGAGGAAGTACCTTGTGCAGTCAGTTTTGGGGACAGGAAGCAAGCACTGATGGGACTTAGCCTTACCCCGGGGGAGGGGGGTGGGGGGGGCGGAAACGGAGACATCTCCTACCACCTCCAGCCCCTGCCCGCCTGGTCTCCATCCAGCAAGGCCCTATGAGGCACCCTAATGGCCTGCCTTCTGGGAGCTGCGCTGCTGAAGACTGTGGCGGTAAAGGGGGAACTCAGAGTCATGGATTCCCAGGGTGGGGGGAAGTGAAACCGGGGTGGGGGGGTGAAGGAGGGAGTTAGTCACTTCCTCTACCCTCCCCGCCACCCCAGCCACTAACTGGCTGCTCTCTGGACCTGTCCTCTCTCTTTTGCTTCTTCTACTACCTTACAGGGTCTCCGCCCCTTCTTCCTCAGATATGGCACTGACGGTGGATGTGGTGGGGCCCGGGCCCTGGGGCTTCCGGATCACTGGGGGCAGGGATTTCCACACGCCCATCATGGTGACCAAGGTAAGGGCTAGTTCCAGGAGCTAAGGAGTACCCCCAGAGTTAGGGTCTACCCTGTCTACTTGGTCTCCATAGGCACCTTTCTTTTTTTATTCTGGAGTCAGAAGGCCCGCTTCTGGGAGTGTTAGCCTGGGGAGGACAAGGGCCCCATTGCCATGGGGTTGTGGTGACCACTTCGGGAACAGACTTCTAGGGAGTGGAAGGGAACTAGGCCAAGTACAGGGCCTGCTCTTTTCTCCTTGGTCACCAACCCTATACCTGCTGGCAGCCACTTGGGGAGGTTACTAGAACAGGATCCCCAAGTCCTTGGTAGTGTCCTCTTGACCCAGGCCCAGGCCAGGGAGCATTCACGCGGCAGTTACCTGTATGGTGTGCTTTGCAAGGGTAGGGCTCTCTATCCAGAAGTATTTCCAAGCACAGCCCCTGAAATCCTGCCATTTCTTCGGGAGGCTCTGTGAGGGCTCCAGTGCTGGGGTGAGGGGGGTGGTTCCGCTCCAGCTTTGGGAGGGGATTAGCTGATGAGCTGGGCAGACACTGCCAGGCAGGGAGACAAAGGGGGACACGGGCCAGCCTGGTTCAAACCCGCTGCTGTGTTTCTTGGGCAGGACAGAGAGAAACCCCTATCCTCCATCCCTATAGGAATGTCATCGCTGTCTGAGCAGGCGTACTCAGACCACTTGTTCCTCATCCCCTGCAGGTAACTGAGAGGGGCAAGGCTGAGGCTGCTGACCTCCGGCCTGGCGACATTATCCTGGCCATCAACGGGGAGAGTGCTGAGGGCATGCTTCATGCTGAGGCCCAGAGCAAGATCCGCCATAGCCCCTCACCCCTGAGGCTGCAGCTAGACCGGTAGGCCCCCCACCTCTGCTGGGCCTGCCAGCATTCTTCTCCCCTCTGCCAGCCTGCTGCACGGTGGCTGCCCTCAGCCCCAACCTGGCCTTCCTGGGCCCTTTTGGCTCATGTTTGAGAAGGTCCAGGCTCTGGAGCTGTAGCAGGGTGGGCTGAGGGGTGTCCCTGTGCCTGGCCGGGCATGCAGCCATGGGCAGGGCAGGCTGGCATCAACCACCTGGATGCCCGGGTTTGACTGGTTCCCAAGTGTGCAGGGTACAGGGTGTGGGCATGAAGTGGGTTGAAGAGGGGAAAGGTGTGCCTTAGGCTGGGTCTCCTGGGCCCCTGCCTCCAAGAGGGGATGGCCTTTGTTCAGATCCTGGGGGGGTGGTTTGAGGAGTTTAGGGGCTCACTCCCCGTAGAACGCCTCTGTCCCCCCCCCGCCCCCCCACCACATACACATACATTGCCTCTCGGGGCTGTGCAGGTGAAGGCAGATTCCCAGGCTTGGGTTTTCAGCCAGGAGGCCTGGGTTGGGGGTGGGGGTGGGAACAGGTGGCTTCCTGGGGTGGGGCATCAAAGTGAGTCACAGGGCAGGAATGCTGGGAGATCCCCCAGCCAGGAGAACCCTCTGGGCAGGCCTTGAACCTGAGTCAGGTATGTCCTGCCTCTCTGCCATCCCCTCCCGTCACTGGGCTCTCTCTGGGCCCTGACTCCATGCCCTCTCTTCACCCCCACCATCCCACAGTGCCATAGAAGCTGGCTCCCATGATGCTCTCATGGCCTTGGCCCCTTTAGTGACTCCCTCATGCCACTCAGGCTCGTGAGTGTTTGCAGGAGTGGGACCCAGAGGAGGAGGGTGGAGAGTACCTCAAGGCATCTGGGAAGGGAACCAAAATCTACGAGGGACTGTAGAGTGGGGTGGCGGAGGGGCAGGGAGCTGCTCACGCCATCACTTCCTGTAGGCTCCTCTTAGAGGGACCCAGTGCCATCAGGGAGTAGGCCCGACCAAGTCCCTCCAGGTTTCCAGCTCCATGTTGGGCAGGTCAAGACTCACTGCCTCTTCTTTTTGTCTGGGCTGCTCCTAAACCCTCCCAGTCTCCTCTACAGGAGCAACCAGAAACTCTGGCAGGAAGCAGTGCTCTGGCCTGGAGCCAAAGCCCAAGCTCCCTTCACTCTGGCCGCACGCCCCTCCTTGGGGAGGCTGAGGCTGGTGTGGTGTGTGGTGACTGTAGTTCTTGTTGACCTCTCTAGAACTGGCCAGAGATCCAGGAATGGTGTAGTGGGGTTGGGACATGGCAGGCTCTTTCTTCACCCTCAGTTCGTCCCAGCCCTCCAATGGCCTCCTGTTCAAGATTCCAGCGGGAAGGGCCTTGGGGGGGGTCCCCGGGGAGCTGAGGTGGGGGGCACCTCTTTTGCTGGCTACCTTGGTGATTGCTGGGGAGCTGGGCCCGCTTGTTGCCTTGGCTCTCTAGGTCCTGCAGGATGGCGCGGGGGGGGGGGCCTTGGTGGGGAGACAGTCTCCACCCTTTGTTTTATGGAGGAGAAGCCTTCAGAAGGGACCGGGAATGATCCTCTCAAAGATATTCCGGCCATTAGCAGCAAAGCTGGTGGGGGACAGCCTCTGGCTGGGCAGAGGAGAGTGCACAGCGGGCTGGCCACTGTTGGGCTTTAGGAAACTCCCTTTCTCTCTCTGGGCTTCACTTTCTCTGTGTGTGAAAGATAAAGGATTATTTATATGAAATCAGCAATCTCCCCCAGAATCGATCTATAAACTGATGCTGACCAATGACAAAGTCTAGATGAAATGCCCCAAAAAAGAAGAAAAGAGAAAAAAAAAGAAATAAAAAGAGGGGTGCCTGTCTGTCTCAGTTGGTGGAGCATATAAGACTGCATCTCTGGGGCTTGAGTTTGAGCCCCATGTTGAGCATAGAGATTACTTAAAAAAAAAGAGGGGCTCCTGGGTGGCTCAGTTGGTTAAGTGTCTGACTTTGGCTTAGGTCATGATCTCAGGGTCCTGGGATCGAGCCCCATGTCCGGGCTCCATACTGATCAAGGAGTCTGCTTTTCCCTTTCCCACTGTCCTACCCCCCAGCTGGTGCCCTTTCGTGCTCTCTCTCAAGTAAATAAATGAAAAATCTTAAAAAAAAAAAAAAAAGGGGATACTGTGAGTTTTTAATAAAATTGAATTTATGCAATTATGTCCATTCTTCATATTGATGCTAAACTGTCCATTCCTTTGAGAAATGATGGTGGTTATTAATAATAGTTGTTTGTTTTGAACTTGGCAAAGTTGAAAGTTGACAACCTGATGTCCACATTTCTTGAACATTTTACGAGTCTTGAGAATCTGTTGTGGGAACAGCTGAAATCTGCAGCCCCTGTCAGGTGAGCAGGGTTCCGGGACTCCTGTGACCTGCCTCCCTCTGGCCTCTCCTCAGGTCCCAGGCTGCTTCCCCCAGGCAGACCAATGGGGAAAGCTCTGTGGAAGTGCTGGTGACTCGCTTCCAGGTAGGATGGTGCCTCCTGCTGGGAACTCCGGCACCCTGAAGTGAGGGGAGCCCTGAGGGGCAGGGCCGGTAGGCGATGGGGATGGGTGCTCCCTTCCTGGCCCTTCTCTCCGCAGGGCTCCGTGAGGACGCACGCAGACAGCCAGTCCTCCCTGCGGTCTTCCTGCTCCAGCCCCGCGTCCTCCAGCCCCCAGCCCGGCAGCCCCTTCTCTACCCTGCCCCCCAGCAGCCCGCGTGCCCTCCCTGGAGAGGCCGTGGTCAGCCGCAGGTGAGTGCAGGGGGGCGGTCACAATGGCCACGGGGTCCAGAACAGGCCTCTCAGGCTCAGTAGCTGGGTTTAGGGGAGCCTGAGGGCACCCTCTGGGTCCCTGAGACAGGCTGGGTGGGATTCCTGGCACACACACCGTCCATTTCCCGCATTTCAGTTTCCAGAGCCTGGCACACTCCCCGGGACCCACTGCTGCTGACCGCTTCTCCTACGGGGGCCGCCCCGGAAGCCACCAGGTGAGATGCCTGGGAGGAGGAGAGAGCCTCCCATCCGGCCAGGGTGCCAGTGGCCCCTGTGGGGCTGCAGAGGGCGGGTCCCCCTGGGGCAGCCAGCACCTCCATCTCCAGCAACAAGCACACCCCTCTTCTGAGCCCGGAGGCCACTGTGTCCGCTGGTGGGCCATGCTTATGTGCCCCAAGCCTGCCTGGCCAGTCCCAGGTGGCCTTCTACCTCCTGTCCTCCCACTTGCCGCCTCCCCCCCTCCTGCTAGCGTCCTCCTTTCCTGAGTGTTTCTCTTGGGCCAGGGCTGAAATAGTTTTGCTGCTGTTGTTGGGATGGTTCCCTTTGGTTCTGGCTGCATCTCTTGAACACATTCCTCCCCATTCCAAGCCCCATGCCCGCCCCCAACTCCCATCACCCCCTCCCCCTTCCTCCTCCTCTGACTCAGCCCAGAGAACCACCAGTGGGACTGTGGTTCTTGCCTCAAGTTGCACTTGGCTTACTTTCTGTCTGCCTTCCTCCCTGCCCTTCTACCCTGGACAACCTTCCAC